ATAACTTAAGCGCCACCGCAGAGAAAGCCCTCCTCCGAGTACCCACCCTCCTAATTTCCTTCATGGAGGGTTCCCGGAGAAGGGCCTCTCCCGCGGATCTCAAGGGGCAGCCGGGCATATATGGATGTAAGCGCTCCTTCAGGTAACCAGGACCCAAGCCGTTTAGGGCTTTATAGGTCATCACCAACACCTTGAATTGGGCCCGGACTTCAATGGGAAGCCAGTGAAGCTGACGGAGGACTGGAGTCATGTGAACACAACGCCCAGTCCCCGTCAGCAGCCTGGCAGCTCTATTTTGAACCAATTGAAGTATCCGGACCGTCTTCAAGGGTAGCCCCACGTAAAGCGCGTTACAGAAGTCAAGGCAGGAAGTCACCAGCGCGTGTGTCACCGTCGCCAGGCAGTCGTTCTCCAGATAGGGGCGCAGCTTATGAATCAGCCGAAGCAGAAGGAAAGCGCTCCTCGCCACCGCTGTCACCTGAGCTTCCAATGAAAGCTCCGGGTCGAGGAGCACTCCCAAGCTGCGGCCCTTGTCCCTAAAAGGGAGTGCGACCCCATTCAGGACTAGGTCAAATCCACCCTCTCCGAAGCCCAATCCGCCAACCAACAGGACCTCCGTCTTGTCTGGATTGAACTTCAGTTTATTGGCCCTCATCCAGCCCATTACCTCAGCCAGGCACCGGTTCAGCACAGCCACTGCCTCAGCTGGATTGCTGGAGAACGAGGGGTAGAGCTGGGTATCATCAGCGTACTGATGATTCCGCAGGCCACACCTCCTGATGACCTCTCCCAGCGGTTTCATGTAGATGTTAAACAGCTGAGGGGACAAAATGGACCCCTGCGGTACTCCATGGCATAGCTGCCATGGTGCAGAGCCATAGTCCCCCAGCACCACCTTCTGGAATCGGCCATTGAGATAGGAGCGGAACCACTGCAAAGCAGTGTCTCCAACCCCCAATCCCTCTGACCCCCAATATTGTCATTAAGCTGTCCACTTCAAGCCCAAAATCTCTCTCTTGGTCATGTTAGCTCAGATCCCATCTGAAGTTGAGATCTTTTGACACAACATGTATCATTTAACATATGCTTACAATGAACTGCATTAGCTAGTTAGATGTCGACACAGATATCTGTCCTATATCCTCTGCACGGAAGACAGAGGAAAAGAATGCATTGCATTGGATACCCTAGATGGACTTTTCCAGCTTCACAGTGTTGAACTTATATCTGAGAAAACGCAATGTCCCTACACAACAAATTCAAATAATACCCCTTAATAACAGAATAAACGTGCAACTTTGAAATGAAAGTGTTTGAATGCTGTGCAGCAAATGATTAGGCAAACCAGACACTACATTGTACTGACTGAGAGCACATGCGGGATTCCAGTGTCAAAATGTACTCTGATTTTTGCTCATGAGAATAAAGATTTGTGCTCATTTCCAGAACCACATTGTCTCTGCAGCCCCTTTGATGATGACGATGATGATGCTAGTTTTATTACTGTCTAGTTTGCAAAAAGTCTGTGGTTGACTGTCACAAGCGTGTGAAGAATTGCTCTCGAAGGACAAAACAAAAGGCAGATTTCCTCTGAGCATGTATAGAGAACCCTTCTTTGCTCATCTGAGTAAGCTGTTGAGTCCAGTTTTCTCGCCTGCAGTGACCCCACAGATGCAATGCTGTCTTGAGACGTGACCTGGAATGAAACAGCAGGCAGTGACTATGCTGTGTGAATGAAGGCAGATGTGTACTGTGCTGGCAAACACGCACACCTGGACCACCACACCTCACCACCTCCTTTGCACTTCTATTCTGGGAACTGGCCAAGGAGGATCTCGTGCTCCTGTGTTGCACTTGTAAGAAGGAAACTCGTTGTTTCCTTCTAAGACACCCTGAGACCAAAACACGAGCAGTGGGTTGCTTCCATGGAGAGGGAGCGTTTCCCTGATCCTGGAAAGCTGCCATCTCCCCCGCGAAGCCTCGGCCACCTCAAGATGCTCCCCCGGCTGAATAAGTGCCTGAACCAATCCAGCCAAAAAGCTGGATGCTAAAGCACACCACCCTGGTTAGGAAATGGACCTTCCCTCCCTGGAGGCCCCCTTGAAGAACTAGTGAACTATTATTGGATTTTCAGGAGTATTTTAGCACAGATAGGAAGTGAAAATCGCCTGCCGGAGTATATCAAGGGAAACTGGACTAAATATGGAACCTGCTGCAGAAGTGAGCGGGGTGGGAAGGCACAGATGGAGGAGAGCATGAGGGTCCACGGCAGAGCTTGCTTTGTGTCGTGGATCAGTGTTTCCATTTGTTTCCTATCGATCTAGCTGTCATGGGTAAAAGCACCTCTTGCCTTCTCTGCATCTCTCCTCCCACCACCTCACCCCAGTTTAGAGGACATATTCCCAGCATCAAGCAGAGCTGTCTGGTTTCCATGGAGACAGAGGTCTGAGGCTTACAGATCCCTCCTCTTTCCTATTACAGCTTTCTACACATACAAAGCTCCCTCCCTTCTCTTCAGCCTGCCATAATGCCAAAAAAAACCCCAGAAGTGTACAGACAGTAGGTACCAGGCACCAACAATTGGGGATCTCTCATCTTGCCATCATGTGCAACTGTTCTGTCTTGGCCTCTTTTTTCAGCAAAGAGCAGCTATGCCTTTAGAATACAATATAATAAATCCACAGTGTGTGTATCATACAGGAGGATTCCACCGGTCCTGAGGCGAGGTACCTCCACAAGGGATGGGCTTCACTGCTAAAGCTTGTGCAGCCCAGACATCAAAGGAAATTCAGATTGGCTTCTGTAACTGAATCTTCCCTTTCCACCCACGTCTTACTCCTTGAGAAGCAATGAAAACTGCACAAACACAAAGTAAGAAGTGTTTGGAGAGTTGAAGTCAAATGCAAGAACTGTGAAAACTGGGCAGGTTTACCAAAAAGTAAGTGCCATTGATTTCAGTGGAGCATATTTCCCAGAGTGACTAAAATGGCAGCCTCAGCCTCTCAAGGAGCAGTAACACGAACAGGCTTCCCACCTGTGTCCTGATCCTTCCGGGAGGACAGCATCCCGCCAGCAGGAGGGCTACCCTGCACAGGCCCTGCCGATCGCTCATGCTGGAGGCCTTTGCTTCAGCCTGTTTGAGAAACGGCCAGAGAAAGCCCACAAGTGGCTGAGGCACTGGGGCTGTTTGCTCCTACTGCCAAGCCCATGGTGCTCAGCAGAGCGTGCCGGCCACCATTTTGAATACGCAAATAGTAGCACGTTCATCATTTGCCGTGTTACGCAGGCATGGCATCATGGGTTGTTTGAGAAGGTGTACAAACATGCCAGAGCTTGTGTTAGGGTTCTTTAAGGGTTGTCTATCTGCTCGGACAACCTTGGACACCAAGTTCTCACAATATGGCAAACTATGGCAAAACAGCTTTGTAAAAGTATGAAGCCTAAGCACGCTGGCTATATCTAAAGGCAAATCTGCACTTCCCGTGTATTTAGCAAAGTCTGGTTAACTGCCTTTGTCCACACTATCTTTGAATTGAAAACCGGTTTGTTTTGGTGGAAGAGATCTTTGGAAGTTCAGAAGAACAGTAAAACTACATGCACATGCTGATCAATTGTCCCTCAACCAAACAGCTGCGTGAAAAGCTGCAATCTTCCCTTTCCTCCCAAAGTAAGAAAGTCAGTGAGCAATGAGAAAGAAAGGAAAGGAGAGGCAGCAGGATATATTCCAATGTAGTTCTTGGGCATTCATTTCATTGGGGAGAGAGAGCAAAGAGGTTAAGGCAGGCTCCAGCTACCCTGATGCCTTCCTACTGCACTGGACTACAATTCACAGTATCCCCAGCCAACGCTGCATAGTTGGTCATGCTGGCCGGTGATAACGGGAGTGTAGCCTAACACATTTGGAAGTTTCCAGGTTGAAATAAGGCTCAGCTGAGACGTCATGAGAAACGCTGGTTTGAGGAAAGGGATTGGAGGGCGAGATGGTCCAGTGCATCATCTGAGAGGACATTTCAGGGAATGACAAGCTGTGTCTGTTTCAGGAGGCAGGGGATGGAGGCCTGAAAGTGGTGGAGTTGGAGGGTTCAAGGCCGAGAAACTGGATCACTGTGGACTGAATATGGCACCTCTCAGACTGGCGTGTCAATTTGAATTTAGGCACCCCCCAGATTTTAAATGTCTGCAAATGTTACGATTTGCAGCAGTTTTTGGCTGCTTGAACATATCACAGTATGTTTTACAATGTGCATCATGTGAAAGAATACGCTTAGACCTGCACATTTTGAAACACTTGGAAATAGATATTTGTATTTAAATGTGGGTTTTGAAATGGATTCCGAATGGCAGTGGCGGTAGCAGATCAGTATGGGAGAAAGTGGTATAGGCCAGGAACACGAGGAATGGTCCATCTGCAAGCACGGAATGATCAAGGTGGAAAGCTGTGCATCGAGCCCGTGGGGAGCTGCTGCCGCGGTGAGACCCTTGTGCTGAATGCAGAAAAAGGCAGAAACGGGACTTTGCCATATGCTGAGTCAATCCACCAGGATCAGCGCTGGACTGCCAGCCGTTCTCCTGGATCTCAGGTGGGTCTTTCCCAGGCCTACATGGAGATGCCAGGGACTAAATGTGGGGCGTTTTGCCAGTACAGCAGGAGCATTGCCACTGACCCACCGCCGGCAAAGACACATACGAAGGGCTGTGCCACATGCTCCAGCTGCTGAGGAACACAGACGGCTGTTTCCTTGCCTCCATTCCTCACATGCAGACACTCCTCCTTGTGAGTCATGTGCGTATAACCAGCTCCACGGAACTCTCTTATGACATCACCAACAGATGCTTTCCTTGGGTGCCGCTCGCTCGTCTCCAGCGGCTTCCTCGGGGCTCTTGGGGGATGCCTGCGGGAAGCCCCCTGCTCCTGTGGCTAGCCCTTTTCTCCCAGGCTTCTGCTTGCCTCCTCTGCTTCTCCAGCGCACCCCAGCGCCTCCGCATTTGCCAGCAATTTTTAGGCCACCACAGTGCTCGACATGCCGTGTGCCTCGAGGCCCTGCAGGAGGGCTTTCGGCCCCACACCGCAACCCAGGTGGGTGAGTGCCGTCCCGCTGAGCATTGCACCGAACCCATGGAGGAGGCAGGTGCGTGCAGAGGTGCTTCCGATGTCCAGCATTCAGGGCACACGATCGCAGACATTCTTGCTGGGTTTGGGAGGCAGAAGGCAAGGGCGTGATAGGGCTGCCAGGCTCTGCATATAGATATGGATGATACAGAGAGAGAGAGAGAGAGAGAGAGAGAGACTCTTTCTGTGGGTGAGGGGGCACCTAGAGGCTGACTTGCTCTAGCAGGGGTGTCCAACCTGCAGCCTGCAGGCGGCATGCAGCCCAGGATGGCTATGAATGCGGCCCAACACAAAATCATAAACTTACTGAAAAATGAGATTTTTTTCTGAACTCAATTGTGCAGTTCTCGAGCGTGAACTTTGTAGATGACAACGTCGTGTTGCAGCGTCACATAAAATAAACCTGTGTGTGCTCTCACTATTTGTGCACATGCATGGCTTCAGGTTTGTGGCCATGTGCGTTTCCCAGTGTGCTATTGCCCAAGCACAGGCAGTTGAATTGACTCCATCAGACGTGACCTGCGCTCGCGGTGACTTGGTGAGTGAAATGCTGCTATTATCAATAATGTCAGCCTACATTTGCAAACAATTTTATACATTTTGACACATTGGCTAAACACAGTCCTGTGAACAGTGAGAAATATGCAGCCTTGCTTATCGATTTGATACAAGAATTTGAAAACAGATTTCAAGATTTCTGGGAAAATAAGCACTATTTTGATATATTTGTAACTCCATTTTCAGTTGCCATAAATATGTTACCTGGCACTTTTCAAATGGAATGCATAGAGCTGCAATCTGGCATTCAACTTAAATTAAAATTTGATCATGGAGTTTTATAGGTCCTATCATCCCAGAGACAAGTATCCCTCACTTCACAATCATGCCTTATTCATGTCTTCGCTTTTTGGCAGCACCTGCATTTGTGAGCAACTAGTCAAAATACCTGATGAACACCTTGAGAACTCACTGAAAATTTCAACTACTTCCATTGAACCAGATATTGATGCATTAGTTTCTCAAATGCAATGTCAAATATCCCACTAGTTTTATGTTGCCCTCTTTTCTTTTGCTTTTATAATAAAAATATTTAAAAATCCATGAAGTTTTATTACTTAAATATGTTCATTTTCTATATTAGTGATAGCAAACTTGGGACCTGCTCAATGATTTTAAAAGACCCTCCAAACAGGGCATCACATAATTAGTATTATTATGTGAGGACTCTTTTTGCTAATCTGTGGTGGTGGATATCACAAAAATTATGCACAGACCCTTTTTTTGTTCTTTGCTCATCAACTTTCGTTAGTGTTCGTGTATTTAATGTGTGGCCCGAGAAAACTTTTCTTCTGCCAGTGTGGCCCAGGGAAGCCAAATGCTGGGACAGCCCTGCTCTAGCAACATGCTATACCTTCTAGCACCGATTCTGTTTGGTTGAGATCTTAGATACTTTTCTTTTAGTCTCATCGTTGTCTTTCTGGGAAATGTGTATTTTGTGACTGGCCCTTTAATGAATGCAGCCATGAAATCTTTCTCAAATTGTAAATGTGCCCACTCACCTAGAAAGGAGAGGAATCCCTTGGCTGGAAGTATTATTTTATTAATAATGGGAACTGAAGATTTAGGGAGGGGCCTGGAGTATCCTTTTCAGCCTCCAGAATTCCACCACCAATGGCTTTATGTATGGTTATTTCTTAGGGTCTCTCCAAGAGGAGGACTAAAATCTCACACTGCTGGACATAACTAAAGGGATGGACTGGGTTATTTCTTGGGTTATTTCTTTAAGAACACATTGTCCTACTTTCCACTACAGTAAGCCTCTTCAAGGCAACTTAGACTCTTGCATTCAGAATGGTATAAGTTATCAACAAGGCATCAAAACTAAAGTAGTGGTCGGAAAAAAGAATAAAAAAGAATAAGAATGACAGTCAAGACACACAGAGCTAACTGGAATTGTTTACTCTTGAAAAGCACAGACAAACAGGATGGGCATGTGACAGAGGATGTCCTGTGACGGAGAGCAGCCCAGCTGTGGTACTGCCACCAAGAAGTGTCTGTCTGTCTGTCCGTCTGTCTGTCTGTCTCTCACCTGTGAAGACCCACAGACTTTGTCGGATGAAGACTTTGTTAAGAGACTGATCCATGTGGAAACAGCTGGTTTTTCTGCTCGGCTTTTGTGCTGTTACCTCAAACTCCAACCCTCTCCAGATGCCATTCTCTGCACCGTTATCCTCCACCCCCGGCCCCAAATGGCCTTGCAGGACCCGAAATGAGAAAGGAGAGCATGTTTCACCAGCTTTGTCTCTCTTCTTTCCAAGCTGTATCTGAAATTGAGAAGCTGAAGGACACTTTTGCCAGAATCGTTTTTTACTTGGAAGAGAAAGGCATGGCTGCAGGTGGGTGCAAATGATCCTTGGCAGACCTCTGCATGCTTAGCTAGATTGGTACCCTGAAGGCTCAGGGCAGCCACCAGCGATTTTCTCAAGGGTGTTAGAGCAAGCAGTCCTGTGACAGCTTCAAGATAAACAGATTTATTGTGGCCTAAATCTCTACAATACTTTCTAAAAAGTGCATTTAATCTACTTCCAGTTTTGTTACAGAAGTGAGATCTGAGCGTGACATAAAAATCTGCTTTTTTCCAATACATAAGGTGGTGCTATGCAATAGCAAAATGACACTATTACACTAGCAGGAAAATAGGCTTTCCTTCACTTTCACAAATAATACTGTGTTTTCTACCACTCTGAAAAACAGCTCAGAAAGTGCTCTGAGAACAAAAACTGGAGGAACCTGTAAACAACTAATGGCTCCTGTTGAAAACCAGTGAGAAAGCTCACTTCTTTTTCAAGCATTGGATGCAGTAGCTCTAGGTGAGCTTTCCCCAGCATGGCTGCCTAGGGGATGCTGGGAATTGTAATCCAGCAGATAAGGAGGACACCCAGCTGGAAAACGCTTTCCTTGCCCCTTGGACATTTATGCCCAATAAATCCGTACATCTTTAAAGTGCCACAGACGGTAATATGGACTTGGGTTTTGCCTACTGCTTCTGGTCAGACCATGGCCCGTTCTGGGCCCTCCGTTGCCACCAAATCGGCGGCAGAGCGTTTCCGATAGTGGGGTAGCCCTACAAGGGGACAGCCTGCTTTCTTCCCAAAGACGTCTTGCCCTGTGCATGGAGGTTGCTCTCCCTGTTCAGCCAGGCAGTTCCCAAGCCTCCCACGGCCACCTGAAAGCCAATCTGAATGATAGGGAGCTTTGTACCAACAGAACAGATCAAATGGTTCCTTAAGAGTGTGAGTAGGGAGGGTGGTGCCGCTGGGATCGATTCACCTGCGCAAGGTGCCACTAGGTACCGGAAAGAGTACCTTCCATCTGCGCCCATTTGCTGCGGCAGGCACCAGTATCGAAGCAACGTTCCATTTTCTGTCTCCACAGAGGTGCGAATTTCTCTTCACAATGGGACCTTGGGATCATTTTATGAATATTTGCTATATAGGTAAATGAATGGATTGTCCAATTAACTGGAAGCACTTTAATTGGTCCAGTAATAGATTAATGGATTAAATGTTGCATTTGAAACACATTTAAAACAAAACAGCCTGGATCAGTCTTCCCTTTACGGGAAGCAAAGCCAGGCAGCAACGGTGGGGACTGTAGTCTAACAGGTCTTAAGCACGCCAAAGAGTTTCTTCACACTTGAAGATTTTAACTGATCCTATAACCAAGCTTTGTGGGATTAGGACTGGCACATTTCCATGTGCCCCCCCCCCACCCGTCCCGAGGTGGCCCTTTCTCTGCCTTTCTGCAAGTTCCATCACTCAGCGACAAGGTGGTTCTGTAGCAAAGCAGCACTGTGAAAATACACGACCATTTCATAGTGTTTCCCAGCCTGATAGTGCATTTTCCTTCCTCTAAAAAAGCCATGAAACTACTTGGAAAGGGAAGGGTCCTGGAGAATGACAATATCATGGAAAGCACCCATGGAAATGTAATTCATTTTATTCTGATTAATGTTGTGAGCCGTCCAGAGGCGGAAGTAATGGATGGCATACAAATTTTACAAATAAATAAAATAAATAATAAAATAAATAAGCAGCCACAAACTACCAGGAGTGAAGAATCACAAGTACACAGTAAAAGGTCCAGAATGGAGAAAAGTGCATTAGATGTCTTTATATACTAAAATGCATTTGCCCTAAGTTGCATTTCCACAGGAAAAGAGGGGAAAGAGGAGGGTGCAAAGATTCAGAGAAGGAAAAGAAGAGCACTTGGCTGCTTGGCTCCAAGGCACAGCCAGATCTGGTGAACAGCTCTGTCGTTGGCCAAAAGTGTAATGCCGTGGTGCCAAAAAAAAAACGGAACCAGTGCGTGTTTTTCCATCTCTCTCCGCAGTGCCTTATCGTCTAGCCATTCAAGAGGCTGCTGAACACATTAAAAAAGAGCTGGCAGAACTGAAGGATGGTAATCTAGGGAAGGGGGCACAACTGGGCTTTGGACAGATGTCGTGGCAGGACATTCCCCTTCTGGGGCCTCCAGACTCTGCTCCCTGCATGCGCGTAGCTTCCTCCGCAATTCCCAAAAGTGCTCCTGCCCCAGCCAATGCTGTGGCCGGTCATTTATTTTCCTGACACTTCTAGCCCACCTTTTCCCACTTGCACGGAAACCGAGGGGGCTACAGGGTCCTCCTGCATCTCCATTCCATCCCCACAACAACCCGGATAAGGGAGGGCAGGCGGAGAACAAGAGACTAGCCCCAAACCACCCAGTGGCCTCCAGCTGTTACACCACACGGGCTTTCTCCTGTCTTTCCATCCACGGCTAACTGACCCTCCTTGTGTTTGCTCAGACCGGCACAGTGTGAAAAATAGCCCATTCTTTAAATGTGACAATATTTTTGCTGGACCCTCAGCTTTTATTAGGGCCAGGAGAGTTAAATTGCCCATCACTGGATACTAATTACTCAAGGGAAATACAGTGGCGGGGGTGGGGGTGTTCGCGTCTGGCTTGTGAGCTCCCAGAGCACCTGTCTGAGCACTGCGTGAAGCAGAGTCAAAGCCAGCAGCAGGGTTCAGGACGCATCGCTTATGGTGGGGCGGAGAGGTGGGAAGACAGATGTAGGTGGGAACTGGAGTCTGCAGGGCTCAGCTTTTCAAAGGGATGGCCTTAGCAGCTGGGGCAGGGATCCTCTGGTCTGCTCTGCGGGGACCCGAATCCCCCATGCCAACCCTAAACTGGAGGCAGGAATAGATGAGCCTTTGGTTTGCCCCGAAGTGCCCTTTTCTGTCCATCCATCCCAAGGTGGCTTGCAAAATTACAAGAATGAAACCAGCACGCATTCTAACAAAAACCGTTCCCTCCCTTGTTTTGTAGCTCCAGCCTGCCTCCCTCCATGTGGTGAGTCCAACGTTTTTATCCTTCCTCAGCTGATTTTTGGCAGCGATCCCTACGCCTCACACACCAGCCGCCCACCCCCTGCCTGGCCCCTGCGTCTGTCCTGCCTGCGGTGCTTGCTGCTCGAGCACACGGGCCTCCAGAGGGCCTCGGCAGTGCGGCCCGTAGGCCTGGGCAAGGCACGCAAGCTAGTTCATGCTCCGCCTCCAAATGGGGACCGGCCCTTCTGGGAGCCCTGCAGGGTGCCAGCTGTGCCACTCACAGCCTTGCTTGCTCCTCGCAGGCTTCCAGAGGGAGGCCCGTCGGTTCCAGTGTTCATCCTGCAGCATTGTGGACTGCCAGCTGCCCATTGACTGCCCAGGTAGGCACCTGCGTTGGTTCTTTCTTGAAACTCCTTTCCTACTGGGTTTCTGGTTGAAGTGAACAGTGGTGGGAATTGTTACAGCGCAAAGGATAAAACCAGAGCTGACTCTTGGTTTTTGAGAGATCTTGGGCAAGAAACCTTACTTCCTTTGCCATCAACTGCCCTTGCGCCTCACCTGCTTCCTCAGCATGACCACTGCATGTTGCTTGGCAGGCAGAAAGCCACTGAGAGAGCAGGAGGCAGCATTACCTTTGTTCCTTCTCTCCACCATCTGGGCCACAGCAGGAAGCAGCAAACCACGGTGGTGAAGAGAAGGGCAGCTCAAAGGTATGGGCTCACAGCAGCTGTTCCAGCCTAGGATCTCATGCCCACAACTCCGGAAGACATACAGAAGGTGTGGCCTGGTGCAATGGAGAGAGAGAGGGAGGGAGGGAGGGAGGGAGGGAGAGAGAGAGAGAGAGAGAGAGAGTGAGTGGGGAACCCTGGTGTGGTTGTAGAGCATGTGTTCTGCATGTGAAAGATCTCAGGTTTCATCCTTGGGTGTCTCCAAGTAGGGAAGACTCCTTTCTGATGCCCATGAAGACCAACCTTCCTTGACTTGGTGTCCTCCAGATGTTTTGGACTACAACTCTCATCTACCCCAAATCGTAACTGAACAGTAAAAACTAGGGGAGGTGTAGCCCGAAACAGCTGGATGGAACCAGGTTGGAAGGTCCTGGAATGCACAGTGCTGACAAAAGATGGAAGAGGGAAAGTAGCTGTGCAGGCAGGAAACAGAAAAATGGAGAGCATCTCTTTGGTGCAGGAAGTATTTCATATGATATGAATGTGCCATGTGTTTCGGAACACCATTTTTGCCTTTGTCAGGAGCAATACTCTAAAAATAACATAATGCAGAATTGTTTGTAAGCCGCCCCGAGGCTTCGGCGAATGGGGCGGCATAAAAATGTTTAAACAAATAAATAAATAAATAAATTTTAATTGTATAAACACACATCAAGGCCAATTCTCATAAACAATGTACAATTGCAGCCTCTTCTGTTTCACAGGATGCCCTGCCTGAATGACAGCATAGCAAAGTGTGCTCATGGCTAACAGAGGGCTTGATGGACTTTTCTACATGAAAGTGCAAATCTGTTACATCTCCTTTAGGTTTAGGTGGATAACCAGGACTATTTCCTTTCCTGCCTTTCCACTATGTAGCCTCTAGGTGGCACTCTTGGTACAGCACAATTGTACAAATGCAAGAGTACAAAGCAATCGTGGTTTTTTTTACCATTGGAACCAATACCCTATTTTTCCTGCATTTAAAACATGCTGAAATTTGCATTTGCAAACAGTAGCAAAACTGGAGGGTCACAACACTGTTTAAACAACCCATGAACTACTGTGAGGCGAAGGAGGAGGAGCACACAACAAATGTAGAAAGTTTTACAGCTGCCATCATGGTAACTGCTGTTTAACATTACAATGCATCTCTGCTAACGAGAAAATCATTTGCTTCTCCCCTGTCTGTTTCCAGTTCAAGATGTGCACAAGCAGGAAGGGGACGGCACTCTTCTCAGCTGTGAGGTTAAATTTCAGATTCCCACAGACAGCACCTTCAGATGGAAATTTGCCAAGGATGTGAGTGACTTCGTGCAAGACCAGTGACTTCGTGCAAGACCAGGCCAGCTCTCCAACAAAGCACTGCATGAATTGCAGCTCAGCCTTCCCTGGCCGGATGTTTGACTGCAAAACCTGTGATTCCATGGGGTGGGGTGGGGTGAGAAGACACCATATTGTGCACTGTTCCAAATCACAAAGGAAATTCTCAACACTTTGCCTTAGTGCTAAACAGTGTAAGGCAAGATAAGAAAATAATTTATTTTATATTTTAAAATCTGTATACCACCAGTAGCCTGAAGGCTGCAATTCATCCTAAGTGATGTCAAATAGATCTCTCTGACCTGCATGAAACCCCTTTCTAGCCCACATGTTAATTTTCTTAACTCGAATAGCAGTGCTGCCTGGCTTGTGGCTCCGGGGTGCAATTTCTGCTATTCGAGTGCCGAGAGCCCCAATTCCTCTCGTCATTTGTTGGGGGGCAGGGAGCGGGGGTGTCTGCACGGCATCCATCTGATTTCTGTGCAGCCAATGAATGCTAATGAACTGATTGTCTGAAAAGTTCTTAAAAGAGCTTCTGCCCGTATTTTTTCATACCCAAGAGCTGAGAAGGCTGTAATGCAGGAGTGGGGAATGACTGCACCTCCAACTGTTTTGTAGGGGCCTCTGCAACACCCTCTGCTCGGTGTATTGGCCATGCTGGCTGGGGCCAATGGGAGCTGCAGTCCAATGGCATCTGTAGGAACACGCTTTCTCTTCTCCCGCTGTTGGAGAAATCATATCCTGGCACTGCAGTCGATTTAGCTTGAGCAAAATCCCCTCCAGCGACAGAGAGAAGAAGCAATTGCAACTTCTGACCGACTGCTCAAGGGACACCAGAGGGAAGGAGCCCTGGGGGGGGGGGGGGGGGCCCCCCCCCCCCCTCCCCCCCCCCCCCCCCCCCCCCCCGGGGGCCCCCCCCCCCCCCCGCACACACTTCCATGAAGCACAGGCATTTTTCACACACAAAGTATAACGAAATCATCACCTGGAAATTCAAACCAGGCTTCCATCCTAGGCATTCTTCTTCAAGAGAAGTCAGCATCAGTAGGGTTTATTAACGAGGAAGTAAATTTAGGATGGGAAGATACAGAGGGAGGATATGCCAGTGGAGGGGATGTGGCCCGTGGGCCAGGATCACCCCTCAGTCTCCCTCTTCGCACACGTCTCATTGCATGGGGAGAAAATGGCAAAGCAGGACTACCCGCAGCTAGAATTCTCCATCTGGAAGAGGGGCAGGATCCCAAGAGAATGTTGACCTTGAAAAAATGGCATGGAAGAGCCACAGCACAGCCGCTTTGCCCAGTTCAGGGATGCCAGTGAAAGATGCACCTCATGCTGAGAGGTTCCTTCCAGGCGAGGCTTCTGCCCTCCTAGTGCCGTGCCGCATTCACAGAATTTCCCACAGAGGTTGTCCAGATGTCAACCTCTTCCTTCTCTCAGAACCCATCCGAGTTTTCTCACCACCTCTTCCATCATTTTTCTGACTACTGAAAATCTCTTAAGGAATAGCTGCAAGATGGGAGGAAGGAGGAGGCTGGGAACTCCAAGGAAAGGAAGCGGTGGGAAGGAGTTGAGGTGCATGTACACCAATGCTAGGAGCATGGGTAATAAGCAGGAAGAGCTTGAAGCTTTCCTGGGAATAGGAGGGTATGGCCTGGTGGGAATCACAGAAACTTGGTGGGATGAAAGGCAAGACTGGAATGTGAACATAGAAGGGTATCACCTTTTTAGAAAGGACAGGAAGGGAAAGAGAGGTCGGGGCGTGGCTTTATACGTCAGGGAAGGGATAGGATGCAGTGAGATAGAATGCAGCGCAGATGGGGATTCGGTAGAGGCAGTCTGGGTGAAACTTAGGGGTTTTGACAGGGACAGAGACCTGACAGTGGGGGTATGTTATCGCCCTCCAGGTCAACTTGAGACCCTGGATGATGTCCTGACAGGCCAGATTCTAAGGATATCTCAGGGGGGAGAGACAGTAATTATGGGAGATTTCAATCTCCCGGATATTAGTTGGGGACTCACTTGGCGGTGACAGCCAGGTCATGTCATTCCTAGAAGCTATAGAGGGAGGGTTTTTCACACAGAGGATCCGAGAGGCGACGAGGGGGGGAAACATCCTTGACTTGGTCTTGACCAATAGGGAGGAGCTGATAGATGAAGTACAGAGCAGGGGAGCTCTGGATGCGAGTGGTCACTCCATCCTTTGCTTTGAGATCAGGGGACTGCGGATGGGCAGCAGGTCGAGCACTAGAAGCTGGGACTTCAAGAGGGCCAACTTTGGCCAACTGAAGGCCAGACTGGGGAAAGTCCCCTGGGATAGGTTACTGGAAGGTAAGCGAATTAAGGAGGGGTGGATAGCACTCAAAAGGGAGGTTTTGGAGGCGCAAGCCTTGACGATACCTCTAGTCAGTAAGGTGGGGAGGTGGAGGAGAGTGCCGCCATGGATGAGAAAGGAGGGATTAGACGAAAGAGGAACCTCTTGCCAAGAATATCAAGAGCAACAAAAAGGGCTTCTTTCAGCATGTAAATAGGAAGAGGAAGGGGAGACAAGTGGTGGGACCACTAAATAAGGAGGAAGGAGATCCAGTGACTGATATGAGGGAACAGGCACAGTTGCTAAATGACTATTTTGCCTCTGTGTTCTCCCCAAAGCAGGATGGGGGAGATCCGCATAGGAGATTAGATGAGGCTGGGGATTTAGGGGCACAGATTAGAGTCACCCCCCCTTGAAGTCGAGGGGCTCCTCAGGGCATTGGACATTGCAAAGGTGCCAGGCCCTGATGGGTTACACCCGAGAGTACTTAGAGAGTTGGCAGGGGTTCTCTCATGCCCGCTGGCCTCCATTTTTGAGACCTCATGGAGAACGGGTGAAGTTCCAGAGGACGGGAGGGTGGCATCAGTGGTCCCAATTTCCAAAAAGGGTAGTAGAAAGGACATGGGGAATTACAGACCAGTTAGACTTACATCTATTGTAGGAAAAACAATGGAAAGGCTCATAATAGGGAGAGATCTAGTTATGCTAGATAGGGAAGGGAGGCTGACAGCCACACAACACGGCTTCCGCAAAAACAGGTCCTGTCAGACAAACCTTGTGGAATTCTATGACAAGGTTTCGAGATGGCTAGATGGAGGGGATTATTAGAACATTTCTATGCCGCCCCTTGCCGAAGCCTCGGGGCGGCTTACAACACAATAAAATACAATACAAAAATAACAATATAAAATTAAAATTAATAATATAAAATAAATAAAAAATATAAACAATATAAAAGAAGTTATAAAAGAAAAGTTATAAAAGAAAAGTTATAAAAGAAAAGAAAAGATGGATGCAGTGGATGTGATATACCTGGATTTCAGCAAGGCTTTTGATAAAGTGCCCCATGATATCCTGGTGGAGAAACTGAGGAGTTTTGGGATACACCAAAGCACTGTCCGGTGGATTAGGGCATGGTTGACTGACCGAAAGCAGAAGGTAACCATTAACGGGGAATCATCAGGATGGTGGCCAGTGACAAGTGGGGTCCCCCAGGACAGAGCCGATCCTGTTTAATCTTTTCATTAATGACATGGAAGAAGGGGTGAATAGTCTGCTGATCAAATTCACAGACAACACTAAAACTGGAGCAGTGGCCACAACTGAGGAGCAGGTACTCCAGATCCAAAAGGATCTGGACAGACTGTGGAAGTGGGCAGGAGACAACAGGATGGTGTTCAATGTGCATAAGTGCAAGGTCTTGCACTTGGGGCATAGGAATAGCTGTCATAAATACAGGTTAGGTGACAAGTGGCTGGAGAGCAGCACTTGTGAAAGGGACCTCGGGGTGCTGGTTGACTGCAAGCTACACATGAGTCAGCAGTGTGATGCGGTGGTCAAGAGGGCGAACGCCACCCTTGGTTGCATAGCCAGAAGTGTGGCTTCTAGATCGAGAGAGGTTTTACTGCCACTCTGTACGACTCTGGTGAGCGTGTAACTGGGGTATTGTGCTCAGTTTTGGGCCCCTCATTACAGAAAGGATATAGCCAGGTTAGAGTCAGTGCAGCGTAGGGCCACAAGGTTGGTGGCCGGTTTGCAGGGGATGCCGTATGAGGCGAGACTGAGGGAACTGGGTCTCTTCAGCCTGGAGAAGAGGAGACTCAGAGGGGATCTGTTGGCGACATACAGGTATGTGACGGGGTGTCACACAGAGGTGGGTAGAGACTTGTTCTCCCCTGCAGAGGAAGGCAGGACGCGCTCCAACGGAGCAAAGCTCAGGGAACCAAGGTTCCATTTGGATGCCAGGAAGCACCTCCTGACAGGACCCTGAGGGTGTGGAATGGGCTTCCACAGAGGTGGTTGAGGCCCCATCGGTGTGGGTGTTCAGGGATAGGCTGGACGTCCACATGGTGGGCATGTCGTGAGCGGAGCTGGCTGGTGCTGCAGGTCAGACTAGGTGGCCCAGGATGTCCCTTCTGACTCGCTCTGTTTCTATGTTTCTATGTCTTCTAACTGGTGGTGCTGGGAGCATCCACATATAGAGGCACCAGAGTCAGCACCCTATTTCCTTGGTCCCGTCCTTCATCCAGAGGGTCCCACACTGTGATCTGTGCCGTTCTCTTTCCTTCTGTCATCTGCAGCTCCGAACTGAGGACCTTTCCCTCTTCCAAGATCTGCAGTTCGGGTTCAGTCGTTCCCTCCTGATCCAGCCCACCCTGGGATCCCATCATGGAACAATAGCCTGCGAGATCGCTGAGGAAGAGGATGTGCTCATTAGGAAGTTCTACTACCTCAATGGTGAGGCCTCAGAGATGGTCGGGGATTCGGGGTTCCTGAGACAGGCCCCACAAGATGGACTTGTAACAGAGCAGGGTTGGCTGCAAGGGGCAGCCTAGCGTGGCCTCATTTCACGCTGCCTGTGCCTTCAAACAAATGTGACGATGTTTTAGCAGGGGGACTTGCAGAAACCCCCTGCAGGGTGGAGCACTCCCCTGCCGGTTCCAGCCACTCCCTTTCCCAAGAAGCCCATTGCGTTCTTCCCTCCACCCGGCACTCCTTGGTCACCACACAGCCTCCCTAGTGGTGTCCCCAGACCACTCCCTTTGGTGCAGAGTACTGCTCAGTTCCTTTAGCTCCCCTCTCCTTGTTTTTCCCTAGCCTTTCCCCGCTGGCATCGCCCGTCCCACATTTTGCTCGCTTCCACCCAGTACCGCTGGTATTTTCAGCATCTTGCAGGGATTGGCGTTGGGTTGGGCGTGGGAGGACACAAAAGCAGAAGCTGTCCTTTCCGTAAGCTGTTCGTCTGAAGGGCGGCAGCACACAGTTCCGTGGAGCCAGCCGGTGTTCTGCAGCTGGGTTATTCCGGATTGCTCAGCTATGTGATGCCCACTCCCTCCACACAGCAGCAGCACGGCTGTTAGATTCTCCTGCACACAGGTCACAATGGAGTGGCTGCCCTGACCTCCTTTGCATCTGCTCACCCTGCCACCCAAGCCCAGAACTGCTAAGCATCTTGGCTCCACTTCCCCCCACCCTCCTATAGTGACAGAGAAAAGGACTGGACTTGAGAAAAGGCTGCAAGACATGTTCAAAGCCATCCTGAATCCCCCAGTGGACCATCAGCGAGAGGAGGCGGAGGGGGTGGTGGTGAACCGGCCACCTTCTCTGCAAGAGATGCTCTCTGCGCCAGATGCCCTGAGCAAGAAAAACGTCATCCTCCTCATATCAGGGATAGCCTTGAGCTCCATGGCATTAACCCTGGCAGCACTGTGAGTACTTTCAGGGTAGCGCAATCCTTCTAGGAAGGGCTGGATTTCTAAAACCAGTCTCTATGCCATCCTCTTTTTCTTTGTTGTTCAGCCACAAAGTCTTGTCTGACTCTGCGACCCCATGGACAACTTTCCTCCAGGCTCTCCTGTCCTGCACCACCCCCCGGAGGCCACCTAAGCTCACACCCACGGCCCCATCCAGCCATCTCATTCTCTGCCGTCCCCTTCTCCTTTTGCCATCTATTGTTCCCAGCATTAGGCTCTTCTCCGGGGAGTCCTTCCTTCTCACTAGGTGGCCAAAGTATTTGAGTTTCATCTTCAGGATCTGGCCTTCTAAAGAGCAGTCAGGGTTGATCTCCTCTAGGACTGACCGGTTTGATCTCCTTGCAGTCTAAGGGACTCGCAGGAGTCTTCCCCAGCACCACAATTCAAAATTCTGAGCCTTCCTTATGGTCCAGCTCTCTCATTCTCTCTTAAACAAGATAAGAGGCTCAAGGCACAATGCCAGTTTGCTTCAAGCAGATGTCCTCCTTTGCCTGCAGACAGGTCCTGGTTTCCATCCTCCACCTCTCCCAAGCATGGCTAGAAGAAGTTTGAAGAGCCACTGCCAATAAGCTTAGGCCAGCCCCCCGCACCTGGGAAGCCCTCCGGATGCTTTGGATTTCAACTCCCTGAACAAACTGGTGGCCAGCACTACATCCTGCAGAGGTGGACTCCATAATCGTGGTTATGGATCTGGCAAGCAGGGCTGACCGAGCTTCAGCAGTCCCTCTTGCTAGGCTTTTCGCTTTCCCAGGATCTTTCTGCTGAAGTATGTTAACTTCCCAGCAACTATAGCATTCTTCCAATTGTTAGCTTCAATACAATGCAGCTGAACTAAACCAGGAGCATCAGACTCAGTCATCCCTCTTCCCATAAGTTTATTTATATATTTATTATATTTATACCCACCTATATCCCTTCCAAGGACCTCAAAGTGGCCTGCATAATTCTCTTCTCAATCTTAACCTCACAACAACAACCGTGTGAGGTAGGCCAGGCTGAGAGCCTGAGATGGGCCTAAAGTCACTCCATGAGCTGAGTCCCAGTCCCATGCTTAACCCTTAACCACTACACCACACTGCGTCCCAACAACACCAACTCCTGGGCCAGTAGGCGTTCACTGCATCAGCTGAATTTCTCTGTATTGCACACTTTCACACAAAGACTTGGGACAAAAATCTTATCCTCACATTTTTTTTACCAGAAATAGACCTACAATGCAGTCTGATAGCTTTCCAAAAGCTGCTGCACTCCAGCTCCCATGCACCCCGGACAGCATGGCCATGTAGTCATGGATTATGGGAGATGTAGTACACCGATACCTGCATAGTAGCAAAGAACGTTCCAGATATCCATTTGACCATTCCTGAAAAGCAAAGAAAAGCACCTGAGACATAAAATACCTCATGATTTTTCCTGGCCACTGGGAAATATTGGAATTTTTAAAAAGGTGTCCCACTGACTGCCATAAATGATAACTTTGGAAACATTTAACTACCCAGAGGTACATTACAATTTAGTTTTGGAATAATAATCAGTCCTACGCAGCATTTGGGTACATTTTTGTATCTCCACATGAGGTTGATTTTCCTTTTTCCCCCCCTCTAACACGCTGATTTAAGAATAATACAGTTTTCTTTTTTAAAAAATCCTCTGCTCAGTTAATCTCAGTATTTTTTTAATTGAGCAAAAGATGTTTATTCTACAGCTGTTCTGTTCAATAAATCAATTAAACAATTAAAGTATAACTAGCACCTTTTGTTAGAAAGAAGGCCCACCCTTTGAAATAATTCTCCTGCCCTGCCTTGGCTTGACCTGTTTTGCCCTACAGCCTGTGAGGAACAAAAACTTAATTTTGCATTCTTATGCATGTTGATTTGAATGGAAAACTCCTACTAAATACATGGGGCTTTCTGCATAATCAAGGAGGCAACTAACAATTTAATCTTGATTGGATAATCTGATCTATTGGATTGGATATATATTTATAGAAAGTTCACACATTTGGAATGAAGGAGACCTGTTACAGTGTCTCTTTAAATTGCTGATCTGCTCTGTCCTTGTCCTTCTCTCTTAGGACAATTTATCACTGGGCTACAGGCGTCACATCCTGAACTGGGGCGTGGAAACTGTATTTTCTTCTCTGTTTCACTTTATCTTGGGAAAGGAAGGCTCCACGTGAACGTCATCATGACTAAACAGCAAGAACAACAACAACAACAAAACCTCCAGACAAGTCCTGTGCTGCTCAGCTCGTTCAGGAAACACTTTTGTAATATGTGCACGAAGGGGCCTAGGTTCACTCCTCCCCTTTTTCATAAATGGATGGATGATTTGTGAAAATCCAGCAAGATGGCAAAAGCCGGAGGAGTCTTCCCAAACATTATGCCTTTGAGATGTTGTGAACACAATCCCATCATCCCAGGCCGCTGCGGCCAATGGTCAGGCAGGCTGGGAGTTGTATTCCAAAACCTCTGGAGGGCACTACATTGAGGAAGGCCAGTCAGTTTATTGTATTTAGCCATAGGGGATTACAAATTAACAAGGTAAAACATTGAATTAACAAAGAAAACCATAAATCAAATGTATTAAAACATATTTAAACGATATTTTAATTGTTAACTGGTTTTTATTTAATGGTTTCATATTTGCCGAGAAACTCCGAATTTTTAATATCATCTATGCCTGATTGTTTGTTCTTTGTGAGCCGCCCCCGAGGCTTCAGCGATGGGCGCAGCATAGAAATGTTATAAATCAATCAATCAATCAATCAATCCTAAAAGACAGACCAGGTGTAATTCACAATTCAAAGCCTCTCCAGCCCTTCTCTTTTTAGAGAGCAAAAAGAGATACTATACTCTTTTATATAGCAGACAAATGTGCATCAGCATCTGATAACAAAGACACTGCTAGGTATTAAAGGTGGGTTGAGAAAGGCTGAATTAGAGGATTACAAGAAGTTGTGAAATGGGCTTCCTCCATTCAGGTTGCCGGCCGGCCGGCCAGCCAGCCCTCCTTCCTTCATATGCCATTCCATTCCCCCTCCCCACAGCATTATTATTATTATTATTATTATTATTATTATTATTAACAATGAGCATCTTGCAAATAACAGAACATGACATAATCACCAGTGGGCTCCCCAATTTAAGGTTTTTTCACGTAAAGATTTTTGTACTTCTGCAAACCTTGGGGTTCCCCCAAGCTTACTGATGTCTCCCCATGTGTGGCTGATTCTGCTGGTGCTCAGGAAATGAAATTTGCTATTTGCATGTTGGATTAGGAAAGGGGCACAAAACCAAAGGGCGCATCTGCGTTGGGCTGCACATAGGGATGTAGGAAGAGGCTGGCTGGTTCAGGCCAAGGGTCCCTCTGGGCCAGCGTTCTGCCTTCACCATGGCTACACCGATGTCCACCGGGCCCGCTCAGGCAGCGTGTGAGTACAGTGGCACCCTCCCACCCAAGCTCAGAGGACCAAAAGGAAAAAGGAGCTGCGGCAAGTCCCGGAGTTAGCCCTGGCTTATTTTCAGGCTGGCTTATTGGACTATCCCTCAGAATTAAAGAATCCCATGCCCCAGAAATTTGTTCTGTTTGACTATTAGAACTGAACAGTGGAGTGTGCATATCTAGCTAAAAGAAAATTTGGGATGATAAGGATGCATGCAGCTGCAAACTTAAATGCTTCCATATAGCCTGAAGTACCTGATCCTGCCTAATCTTGGAAGCTAAGCAGTGCCAGACCTGGCCAGAATATGGAGGGGAGACCTGATTCCTGAACAGGAACAGTTTGACCCGATGCCCTTCCTGGCCCCTTCCAACTGTATGATTCCATGATGTCTTCATCTCATCAATATAATTACGGGTGAGAGATCCTGTCCTTGTGAAAGTGTTAAATCTAAGCCCACCCTGGAGGTATAGAACTTTTCACCTCTTCCCAGCCTTTATCAAAGCATGGCCACACCGAGGTAAAGCTGATTAGCACGACAACCGCCCAATTGTTAGAATAGATAGGTCCTGTTAATAGTTCCTTGCCTGAAGCCACTTCAAAGGAATTGCTGATAGCATTAACTCGCTACTAGAAGAGTGCCTTTTCAGTAGGAAGGCATGGTACCAGTCCAATTAAAAGATGAATGAGTCGGTGATGGGCCAAAGGCAGGTAGATCCGATGTTTTGGACCTCGGTTCCCTGCCAGTGTAGCCAATGGCCAGGCATGCTGGGAGCTGAGGTCCCTAAATATCTGGAGATCTACTTTCTGCCCCTGCTTTAAATCACACCTAACAAGCCTCAGTCAATCTCCTGCACCGACTCTTCAAGATCCCTAAAATCTTTCTTTTGCCAAAGGTTAGAAATATACTTCCCTTTTTTTTCTTTCTGATAATCTTATTTATCAGACCCCATCGTTCACTGGAGCGTTCTTTCTCAGGCATAGTTTAGGCAGCCAAGCCTCATCCGATATACCGGTGTGTGTATTTAAAACTGTTTCAGTGCCTCCATGAATCGCCCAGAACTTTTTCTTTGCTTTTCCTTAAGAACCCTGAACAATCTCACATACAACTTTATTATCCTCTGCTAACCTACAGAATCCTCTCCTAAACCCAGCCCATTCCTCCCTGGTTTCTTCTGCTAGGGCAAGTCCAGCGCTTAGCATGCCGTTGGAGCTTTCAAATCAGATAGAATATTAGCATGTGGTCTGGCGGGTTCTGAAGACCCAGACGCGCCCACCCTAAAGTAAACCTGGAAAATGAAAAAAGCCGCAACTGCTTTTCGGGATATGCAGATCTCCAGCCTTATCTGCATGCAAATGTCACTGAACTAGACGGGACTTTCCCTGCACCGCGTCCTTGGCCCACGTAGCGCGCACCACCGGCTTCCAGCGATGGCCCGCGCCTCGCCGGCAGCGCCCCCTGCCGATGCCCCCTGGGCGCGGCGCCTCGCCTCGCCCCGCCCCGCCCCGCCCCGCCCACCTGGAAGTTCCCACGGGCGCCAGGATCTCCTTTTATGGTCGGTGACGTGGCGGCGGGGGCGGGACGGAGTCAGCCTCTTTCCCCCGCGGCTTGGCCCGCCCCGGTGAGTCAGAGGCGACGAGGAGGGACGCGCGCACGCCGCGGAGAGCGCCTCGGGAGCCGCGTGGCGGGCGAGCGAGCGAGCGAGCGCGGCCCGGCCCGCATCCGTGAAGGTACAGGCGAGCCATGGCAGGGGCACGGGGTGGGGTGGGGTGGGGTGGAGGCCGCTGGGGGCGGGAAGGAAACTTCCTCCCCGGTTTAGAGTTTCAGAGGCGGCGTTCGTCTCTTCCTTGCGCTCCTCCGCATCGCAGTTCAGGCAAGCCGGTTCACCCGTCGGTTCACTCAGGTGCCTCTATGGGACTTTCTTCTCCTGCTGCCGTGTTAGGGGCCGGGCAGGGAGGGCAGCCGCGGGGGAGGTCGTGTAGCCATGCTCCCTTATTCGGATTTTCTCCGGGTCTTTCTCCTCCCCGCGCTTTTCTTTCCTGGGGATGGAGAGAATGGATCGCCGTGTGGATCTCCGCACACCTGCCTGCTCTTGGGCTTCTCCCCCCAGCTTCCCTCTCGCCGCGCTGCCCGTCCCCAGAGCCACTCCTCTCCTGCTTCATCGCCCTCCTGCGCTCGCCACGCGCTCTCCGGGCATCGCGTCCGCACCTGCCTCTCCGCCCGCTTTGAGCCCTCGGAGGCGCGCCTGCCCGCCTCCCCCTTCCCCCTTCGTTCGTCCCCGCTGCCCAAGTTTTCCGAGCCCCAGTTCCTATCCATCACCCAGGCTTGGAGGGGGCGAGCGAGGGCGAAGAGTCCCGCGGCGCCGTCCAAATTGGACTAGCAGCTCATGGCCGATCCCGTTTCGTGCTGCTCAGAAGGAAGACCCGCCGAGTTCAGCCGGATTCACCCCCCGGTTAGCGGGCGCGCTCTCGCAGCCTTTGCGGTGAAACGCGCTCGCTTTCTGGAAGTCGCAAGGTCCGTGCGCCTGTGTTCACAGGACAGCCGGGCCGACGCGGCGCAGCGCCGCTCCGGTGCTCCTCGTGCGTCCTTGTGTACGCCGCCTCCCCATGCCATAATCGGCCCCCGCGGCATCGTCAGCCTAACTTGTTTCCACTTCCTTCGCTGACGCTTCCCTCCCGCTGCCTTCCCGCAAGCTGATGAAACTGTCCCTCAACTCGCCGTTTTGCAACCAGGTGGTGTGTGGGGTGATGCTTCGGCGGCGCCGCCTCCCTCTACGAGGAACTTTACTATTAAACAAATAGCCGCTTCCCGCACGTGCTTCTGGCCGGGCCGTTGGGTCACGGCCGAGTGCGGGCTGGGCTGGTTAGGCCACCGCAAGAGCAGGCCCGGCTCGGGGGCAGCGCCCCGAGTTCTGGGGGGGGGCCGGCGAGTTTCGAACCCCAGCCACCTCCGCGCTGGGGGGGCTGCAGTGGCTCCCGGAAAGGGGGTCCGTCGGGGCTGCACTAGGCCTGGTGTCAGAGGCATCTGGGCAGCGAGCTCGGGGCTCCGCTGCACCCTCAGCCCTGGGCTGTCGCCCTACCTTGCTTTGCCCCACTGATTGGGAGGGCAGCCCATAGAGCCGGGGGGCATATTCCTCGCAGCCGCGCGTGCGTGGCTCAGGGCTACCTTAGGGCTAGGGCTGGCATCACTGTTGGGAGAGGAAGGTTAAATCCCCCCCCCCCGCCGCCGCCAATTGTCCCCTCCTGTAACCTCTGGGGAAGGGCTAACAAAAAGAGGGAAACAGATTCTTCATGGGTGTCAGTGCAGACTTTTTCTTGGGAGAGGAATTTTAGGGGGAAATGGTGTGTGCAAAGAAAAATGCGGTGTTCTCTCTCAGAGCATGGCGGTCCCGACATAAATTAGGGCTGGATGCACTTACTCTAGAGAGGGGCAGCTAACGGAGCTATGCAGCGAGCGGGTGCCTGGTTGCCTTGCGGTTCTCTTTGAAGAATGAGGGTGGCGAGTGCAGGGGGGTGGGGGCGGGCAGAGGATCCTGCCATTCACTCCGGAGAGAACGGGGCAGTGTTGTAGCGCGATCGAATGAGGCCACTGGACAAGAAGTATGGAGAGTTGAAGGGTCCTTTATTATACCTGCGCAGGGACCAACACTCTGAGAGGAGTGCGGTCCCTGGTATTGGGATGGTACAGTTCTTATACATTTTCTACCCGGATATACTTGGCGCCAACCGTTACTTTGTGCGCCAGTGGGAAAGTGGAAAAGTACGTTTCATATCAAGCGGCTTAAGCAAGCGTGAAGTACAGAAGCTCAAGTTTTGCAGTTGAATTTGCTTTTGCAAGCCCCTTGTTGCATATCAAAGCGTTCCTTGCTGCATGTAGCCACTCCCTGTCATTGTGCCAGCCGCCTCCTGTCATTGTGTTCCACCAACCGGCCCCACCTTTCATGTTCAGGTCTGTCGGACACAACAGGCAGTTGCACAGGGCCAGCGACCGCGCAAGTGACTGCAGCCTTCCCCAGGTGAGCGCCTTCCAGACACGTTGGGCCACAACCCCCAGCATCTCCAGCCACCCAACCCATCTGGAAGGCACTCGCTTCAGTCCCCACGGCAGGGCATTTCCACATGTTACATGTTCTGGTCTTGGCCAGCATGAAAACCTGCTGTTATCGTGAGGTTCGCAAGCTGGGAAGAACTAATGGGGAAAGCGTTTCAGGGTGATGCCGCCTTTTCCGTGTCTCGCTGCAGAATGGCAGTCCTGCAGGCCATGCTCTAGCATTACTTAACCCACTGCAGGATTTCGTGGATTGGGTGGGTGGCCCACACATTGCTTTGGGATTTATCCAGCCCCTGCCCGGCGCGAGGCACTTGGGAACATGCTCCATAGTGCCTGGTTGGAGCTTGGCAGCTTGGACGTAGGAGGAAGGGCCTTTTTGGTGATGCCATCCAGACCATGGAATCCCTGCTGCACTGAGGTCTGCTGAGGTCCCTCTCCGGCCATCTTTGGAGCAGCTTTCCCTAGCTGGGGGCCCTTCGGGTATGTTGGAATACGCTTCCATCATCCCCAGCCAGCAGGGCACACATGGAGTGCTGGAATGTGGCAGTGAGTGTTGTAGTCAAACAGATTAGAATGGCAGTCCAGAAAGAGTGCTTTAGGTGGTTAGTAAAATCTCTGTTCTTGTTGACTTTAAATGCTGTTTTTAGTCTTGTGGCACAACTGGCTTTTTAGTTTGGTGTTGCTGTTTATTAGAAGATCAACAGCGACCACTTGGCCTGTCCTTGCTGTGTGTAAGTGTAAGCTTTTGCTTGTATAGAAACCCAGCCAGGCGTGACTGTTTGTCTCTCTCAGAAGTGGCCTGCAGAGCTGGTGCAAAGCAGTGATCCAGCAAGAGGGCCCTCTTGCACCTTCCCTTGGTGGCCAACCATTCTTGGGCTCTTTCTCCCAGTCTGCACCTTGAAGGAAAGTAGCTTGCAGGAGCATTGGAAGGATTATAGAGTCATTCATGTTTCGAACAATGGAAAGCACCATATGAATGATAAGGAGGTGTGCAAACCTTTTAAAGGTATAGCTTGAAGTGTGAATGCCACAGACCCAGAGAGGGAGGTGAAGAGGAGGTTGCTTGCAAGCCTCTGTCATGCAGACGCGCTGCCCAAGGTGTGGTAGGGGCTTGTCTGGCACCTGCTGTGCGTGTGCCCCAGGCCAGCCCAGATTTAGCATTGCATAATGTGGGGCAGGTAGCCATTTCCCAAGTTCTGTTCAGGTTTGGTTCTGTGAGTGGCTCCCAGGAGAATATTCAAAACTGTTTGCAATTTGCAGCCAGGAAATTAAGGCAGAGAGAAAGTGACTCAACCATGGCTGGACAGTGCGGTTGTGTCACAGCTGAAACTTGAAGGCAGTTTACATATTACAAAGTGTTTCTCTCTCTGGGTATGTGTGTCTGGCAGCTGTTCTGACAATCCCTGGATACTTGCTAATAATTTTACCTGCCTGGAAGAGGCCGAGGCTATTGGGATGGAAAGAAACCTCCCTCTCATTTTTCTTGCACACTTTTAATGTACCCTTCCTGATCTTACTGTCTTCAGCCAAAATAGATGGATTATGGAATCATAATGCTCTGAACAGTAATGCTGGAAGAGCTAGAGGGCAATTGGGATGATCATATTTTGTTATTCTTGATTGTTATATGCCCCTTTGAAGGAGAATCTGGCCTGAAAAGCAGAGAATGATGGTGATAATAGTCATGTTGCTAATGGACATTCTCTCCTGGAGAAGAATAGAAGAATCTCCACAGGCCAGAAGGTTCCTGGCCCTGCCACTCATTGGCGACATTTTGGAATAGGATGGTGCTCGGTGGGGAGGGGAGACAAGATTCAGCTACGGTAGAAGGCCTCCCTTCATTCCCTGTTCAAGGGTAAATTTCGAAAGGCTTGCCAGTTTTAACAAATTTGCTTGCATTGTTTTATGCATCAAAACATCTGCAGCAAGGATAAAATTTATGCTTCTGTCTGAACCCCCCCCCCACCCTGTCCCATTCCTCTGGCATGCAGTCCTGAAATACAGCCCCTTTAAAGGACCCAGCATAATCCAAGAATGTTGGACTTGGGAGGCCCCTGTTGAAATCTTCAGCACTAGGTGATCTTGGGTCAGGTATGAGAGCCAGTGTGGTGCCGCTGGTGAAGAGCCTGGGACTGGGACTCGGGCAGCCTGGGCTCTAGTCCCCACTTGGCCATGGAGCCCGCTGGGTGACCCCAGGCCAGGTGCAGACTCTCAGTCCGCCTGCCTCACAGGGTTGTTGTGGGGAGAAGATGGAGAGCAGGAGGAGGACAATTCGTTCAGCTGCTTTAGGGCAGGATATAAAGCTAATAAAGGCTTGCCGCTCCATTGTAGCATTTCTTCTCTTCTACCCCATTAGTCACCAACAACCAAGGGAGGTAGTTTGGGAATTTTCTGACACTAACATGAAGATGTTGAATAAGGAAGTATACTGGTAGATAAGGAAGAATACTAGAAGAGGAGGAAAACCCAGAGCTACTGAAAGTAAGAAAGCTGGGAATACCCCATTGCCCAGAAGGTCCTTTCAAGAAAAAGGAGTGGGAAAGATTTCTTTCAAAACTCCCTGGATTTGTGAGCAGATAGAAAAGCCCATGAGCATAGAATTTTTTGAGGACAGATCCATCCAAATAGCAGATTAATACAGGAAAATGTGTGATTTTTACATCGGGAAAAGGCTATTGGTGGCTGCATATTATTTCCAGCACTGGGTTTCATTTGTGGGGGAACATGTACTCAGTTCCTGCCTCTGGATTTACTTTTTGGGTCTGTAGAAACTGCTGGAATGGAGAATCCTTTGTTCAGATTTCGCAGGGCTATTCTCAGAGTCTTTAGGATCTGTGATAGTCAGATGGATTTTCTTCCAAGTTGTTCCTTGCATTTGAAAAGACCCACATTGTTCCAGCATCAGAGGAACAGTTGGTTTGGTGTTAGTTCCCCTCTCATTGTGCTGCGATCTGCTTTGAAGAGGGTCTGCAATCTGTGGTGTATCTGCTGGTAAACAGGTCTGCAGCTTTTCTGTGGTTTCAAAACCTCTTTGGCTGGAGGTGACAGAAGCCCAAAGGAACTGGCATGTGCGCCCTGGCAAACAGCTTCCGGCCATTGTCTGTCTCCAGACAATGGATGGCGCTGAAATTAATTCTGAAAGAGGTTGACCATGTTTTGGGTGGGCGTTTTAGCTACCAGGGGATCCCAACATATATTTACATCTGGATTTAGAATGGAAATCTAAGGATTTTCAGGGTCTTCCTTATTTTGGCAGATTGTGGCATGGGTGTAGGAGAAGCGCAGTTTGAGTTCCAGTTTTTGTGAGCCTGTGTGCCTTGCTAGGAACTGATGTTTCCCTCCTGTGTTTGTTCAGGTAGCCCTACTTCCAAAGTAGTTTATCAGAGCTCAATGTCCTGTTTCTGGGCACTTAACTGCCAAGCGCTCCCAGGATGCTGCTTTTGTGTGTAATCGTTTTGGCTCTTCTTCCTTGTGATGTCATTTGTTTTGTTTTTTCCAATGTGACTCCTGAGATGGAGGTGATGCAGGTGAGCTGGTTGATGCTGAAGCTAGACAAGAGCCACGAGTCAGCAAATCTTGCAACATGGCAGGGCTGGGGGCAGGAGCTCCGGTAATATAATACGTGGCATTTCGCACCAGTTGCCAGCTGCCTTGAGCTTCAGGAGCTGCACACTGCACCTGAAAGCCCAGCTGTGGCCATGGCCAGGTGGACTCCATCTTGCAGATAAAGCTGTGGTTTTTTTAATCCATCAGGCTAGAAAATCGGGAATTGCCTTGGTAACTCCAAGGCTGGAGTGGCTTAATGTGCTGCAGGTTAAGCTGCTCTTTTGCTCTGTTCATTGCTCTGTTTATATCCCACCCTTTTTCCAGGAGGCCCAAGTGTTCCTCTTCATTTTCTCCTCGCAACAATGCTGTGAGTTTCATGGCAGAGTGGGGACTACAACCTGGCTCTCCTGCATTCCAGTTTAACCACTGGACCACACTGCCTTACAGCTGGCTGGAGATGGTGTGGCTGTTTCTCCTCTGGGTCACAGAAAGGGCAGAGCCAGGCAGCCTGCACTGGCCATGAAACGTTTCCTGGTTTTTGGGTAGTTTTATTCCAAATTCCAGAAGACTTAAGGCTGTCCGTGCTCCAGCTCTGAGTGTCCCCCAGTTGCTGCGTTCGCTACTTGTGCTCCTCCAGAGGTTTTGGAGTGCAACTCCCATCAGCCAGCCTAACCAACAGAGAAGGATGGTGAGAGTTGTCACCCAGAACCTTTGGAGGGCCCCAAGTCCCCCCGCCCACTCTTGAATGCACTTCGTCCGAATGGGAGTGGGACAGGCTGCCTCGCCTCTCCGATTATCTATAGCCATAGAAAATGACCTGAACAATCCAGAGTTCTTAAGGTGCTGGGAGGTTATGACGGGCCACAGCAATAACAAATTTTATCCTGCTGTGCAGCATTCTTGTCTCTCTCCTTCTAGTAAACAGTGGGGGAAGCGGGGCTCTTGCAACAGCGCCGTGGTGCTCTCTGCCGCTCCAACTGCCTTGGGTGCGAGGTCATTGTTTGGGGGCGGGCGGGCGAGCGAACGTGCGCACAGTCGTTGATGTAAAGGGGCATGCAACACGCACAAGCACACACGCCCTGTCCCTTTGTTTTTCCCCTTCGTATTTCGCAAGGACTCACTCTGTTGTGCACTTCCCTGTCCCGTAACTGGCAGGTCGTCTGCCAAGACAGTCTCTTCCAGGAAAACGGCAGCTGATTCCGGCTGGAGGGGTTTGTTCGTAGAATAGCGACTGTCTGTGCCTAGGGTGCTTTGCATGTTTGTGGTGGGGGTCTGGATGGGGAGGAACAGCCCCCCTTTCCCGTTGATCCTAAATGGCAGGCGCTTGTCTAGGAAGATGTGCACACCAAGTAGCTGGTGCTGAGCAGGACACAGAGCCGGCTGCGGGTTTTAGCAGGAAGCCGCTTAGGTGAGCGTGGGAGGGCTGGGTATGAGCTCCTGCACGGACTGACTGGAGCAGGGGCCGGTCCCATCACCGCTCGCGAGTAGCTGCTGCTTCAGCAGGCTCTGAGGGCGTGAGGGAGAGCCAGAGGGGCTGCACAGGGGCCCCTTCCGTTGCTGAGCCACCCTCCTTGAAGGAGAGGAGAGGGCACTGGAGTCGGCCTCTTCAAAACCTTCCTTTAAGATCCTCCTTCGCCAGGAATATCCCACCCGCCACCACCAGATTTAATTTTTGGTCCCCTTTCTCTAAGGCATGGCAATTGCTCGATGATTACTGCCCAAAATGCTCATTTGCTGGGTTTTGCTGAGGCCAGAAAAGACATTGCTTTTCATCCATATATAACCCGACATCTTTCTTGTTGTTTGTGTATTGAGGAGGGCAATGCCAGATCTGAAAAGTCCCCTACGCCAGCACTGGGGTCCTGATCTGGAAAAAGCGGTTAGAAATGGATTTTTTTTTTTAAAAACCACACGCACACACAGATCAAGCTTTGAGCCTCATTGAAACAGGCTGGGAAGTTTGCTTATCACGAGGACAGAGCGATGATCAGGATTGCTTAACAGCTTCTCTCAGCGGCTTGAATTGCCCGCAGCTCCTTGCCCGCCCTGTGAACACCTGTGCACCAGAAGCCTCCGTGCTGCAGACAGTTGCCTGGCCGGGTCGGGTCTCTGGGGGCCAGTCCTTTTCCGGGCAAGGGTGCTGCCAGTCTGGTCCAGAATACGAGGCAGCGCTGCATTGGCGTACTGACAGCCGTTGGTCTGGATGCGGCTCTCCTGCAAAGCAGCCGGCTGGTACGGGGCGAGCCTGCCATGGCTTCCCCGGGGCTGCAGGCCCTTGGTGCAGCGGGTCGGCCTCACTGGGCTGCTGCCAAGGCCCACCAGGCTCAGGACTCCCTGGGGACCTGGTCCTCTTGCGCCACCGCCCCTTCCTCCCATGGCTCTGTGCCCATTGAGCGTGGCAGCAGTCGCAGCAGGGAAGGAAAGCCTCGCCAACCTCCACCTGACTTGCTTTCCCCTGCAAGCAGTGGTGGCATTTGGGTTTAGGCCAGCTTTCCCCAACCTGGGGCCCTCCTGCCGTTTGATACTGCAGCATAGTCATGGCTGATAGGAGTCGGAATCCAAGATAGCACAAGGGCACTGGGTTGGAGAAGGCTGGCCTGGGTAGAGCAACCAGGTGGGTTGCAGGCTTCCCTCCCGGGAGCCTGGAGCAAATGCTGCCACAGTGCTGGCTAGGCACAGCTCCACCCAACCTGCGAGGATGAGGAGGCCGGCTTAGGAGGCCTCCAGGCTTCCTCCTGCAGCAGAAAGCGCTTGCCTGCTCCTCTCTGGCTAGTGTGGGTATGCACGGCCAGTCTGTGGTCGTGACCCGCTTGCTTGGAGCCCTGATGTAACAGCCTGCAATCTCTCTTCCCTCGCCTCATGAGTCATGTCTCACTCACAGGACCGAGTCGCTTTTGCCCTCTTGCCTTGCAGCTTCAGAGACAAAGAGCTTCCTTGTGTCAAAGGGACAGCTTCACCTGCCTGCCCTTGGAGTCCCGGGCAGAGGCAGGGGCTGCTGGGACCCAGCAAGACAGGTGCCTCCAGCACTGAATGGAGTTTCCTCTTTCCCCCACAGGACACACCATGAAAGAGGAGGTGGAAACGGGAGTCGGGTTCATCACCCGCCTGGTGAACCGGCATGAGAGGCTGGACAAAAGACAGGTAGAGCGCTTTGGCGAGCAGCTGACGGCAATCCTGTGTGAACGCTTCAGCAAGCACTGGTACCCAGAAACCCCTCTCAAAGGGCAGGCTTACAGGTAAATGAGGTCAATGAGACCATTTCTTTTATTTGGGGGCAGAGGTGGCATCAACGGTGGCTTGTTCAGCTGATCCATGTGCCTGCTTGTGAACCAATGTCAAGGAAAATTGACCCGCAGATGAGCAAAACTGCAATCTAAGCGGGTTGTGTTCTGTTATTTGAGATTGTGCAGGAAGTAAAATGATTTCACAGAGAAAATTGACCACTTTTCCTTAGATCATTCTTAGGATTTTTCTCTTCCCATTCTTATTGTGGTAACATGCTGGGACTTTAAAAACAAAACAAACAGCCAAGCTAAAACTGGCCCACCCTGAAGGCTGAAACAACTACCTCTGTGATCTGAAACACTCATATTAGGGAGTTCATTCCTTTAAACATGCTGGGACTTAGTTCCTAGTCAGTTTCCAAAGGGCCCCCTAGTCCAGCGCTCTGTACATGCTGTGGCAAGCCAGCTGCCTACGGGATTGCTCAGGCAGGGTGGGTGCAAGACCTCCTGCCCAAGCGCCTCAGCAGCTGGAGAATTGGGCTGTCAGTGGCTTTTCGTAGCAATGATCGTACACGATGTCTCTTATCAGGGGCAGGATGCCTATTGTTGTGTCCCGCGGTTTTACTGATGAGTCCAGAGACCAGTTGGAATTTTTGAGAGGAGTTTATTACCTGCAGAGACCACCACTCATTAGAGTGCGGTCTCGAGCAGAAGGAAAGCAGAGTTTTTATACTCGTTTACAACTATGCAGGTGCTTGAATAACAGCGAACAATAGGGGAAACCCACTGAGCCCCATTTGCACATTTTTCATGCTAAAGCAAGCAAGGGTACAAGGGCGTAACATCTGCAGTTATGCTGGAGCGTAGCCTGCTTTGTTGTCAGCCTTGCGTAGCGTGCACATTCGTTGGGGTTCTTGTTCTCACCCGAACAGGACACCCTGATCATGCTTTTTACCCGTGACGAGCCATGCCCTGGCTGCATGTTCGATTAAGAGGGGGGTTACAACACCTATGTGCCCCAGTTGCAGCTGGGTGCTGTCGCTGATCGGTCTCTGTGCCGACAGAACGCTGGACCAGGCAGGCCTTTGGCCTCACCCAGGAGGATTCACGTCCTGGCGGGACTTCAGGCCGGGTTTCCAGGCAGTGGCCAGGCCTGGTGAGCGTCACGCAAGGCTGCTGCCTCTCACACCTGGTTTTCCGATCAGAGTGGGAGTAGCAGAAGGCAGACCTGGCGCAGCTCAGGCAATTTGCAGACGCTCAGCAAGGATTTCTGACTTCCTCTTGTCTAACAGCAGCAGCAGCAAAATTATTTCCCCCCACCCCAAAATTATAGTGCTGAAATAAGGAATATATGAAACAGGTAGGATAAATTTCCCCTCCAGAATTGTGAGGGGCTTTGTGAACTGTGAACCTTGCACAACTGAAGTTTGCATTAAAAAGGAAACCAAAATCTGGGAGGCCGCTGCCCACGCACGGCATCACAATTCCAGCCACTGAACCCGGTTCAGATCCACAGGGGTGAACTGTGGGCCACCTGCAGTTAGTAGCTCGGTTCACCGTGCATGGGTTAAGCCATGCTTCGCCCCCATCAGCCCAGAGGCTGAATATTAAAAAGGCCGCAGAGTGATTGCCTCACTTATGTGCAAACAGGCCGGTGCAAACAGCCACCCTCAGCCTCGTCCGCCTGTCAGCTGTGCTGTGAGGCAACAGGGCAGTGGCTTTTTATGGCGCCAATTGTTTGCAGAGCGAGCTGTGAAAGGCTGCTGTTTGCACACCAGTTGGTTGCCCAGCCTGGAGCTGGTCATGCCGTGGGTTCCTGGCAAGCGGCATGTTTGGGAGCATATTCACTGCTGTGTGTCCCCTTTGCCCAAGACTCATGCAGACGTACTCCTGCATGTTTACTTCCAAGCAAATCCTGCCCATCGAGTGGATGGCGTGCTTCCATGAGTGCGTGGAGGGAATAATTTTCAGTACAGGTTTATAGAATTGGAAGTTATCCAGGTAAGCAAGCAGGTGCCCTCCAGGTGCTTCAGCTTTCATTTTGCAATATCCCATTGGCCATACTGGCTGGGGCTGATGGGAGTTGCAGTCCAGAATACCTGGAGAGTATTGGGTTGCCTGCCTGACAAGGTTAGGTTTACTGAGCAGGGGGACCTGCAGCAAGATGCTGTACCATGGAATGCTTCTTTTTGGATATCCAGCCCATTCTTTCCACACTCCACTATCTGTTCCCTTTCCCGTATTTCATTGTTCATTTCTGAATAAACATTCCTTGTTTTTGTAAATTTTGATGTTGCTGAATATCTCCCTTTTGTGCAGAATGGAACAACATGGGTGTTATTTTGGCTACATCCATGTTCAGGGGTAGAAAATCTTTGGGCATCAGACGACACAGGGAAATGGTGGTTTCTCATTCCTGCTTATTGGCCCTTTACCCACAGTGGGAGCTTCTCCTTACAGCTTCATTGGGTAGCAGGCTATAGGCTGGGGTACACTTCTTTTGAATCTGCATGTGTATATTTGGGATGCGGATTCAAATTTCCCTGGAAATTCAGAACTGGAAGTGCTGCTCGAGTCTGAATTTGTGCTCACAGCTGCTTGGGCTGTCTTCAGAGTTAAATCAGGAAGAAGGGAGGCGCGGGCTTGGTGTGTGCCTCATGGCCTTGTGAGGTTACTTGGCGTCCTTGGGCCTGGCTCAGCCGAGCTTGTCTCACTGTGCTGTTGCTGTGGAGATGCGGGGGAGGACGGGTGGGCGGACATGTTCCGTGAGGTTCGCCTGCTATCAGCTGTCCCAGGATTTGCCTTCCTCTAAATATAGGCTCTGTGGCCCCGTGCTGCTCCCTTCCAGGTGTATCCGGATCAATAGACGGCATCAGGTGGACGACTCACTCCTCAAGGCTTGCAGAGACTGTGGCTTAAAGTACTCGGAGCTTGCCTTGCCCCGGGAAATCACCATCTGGATCGATCCTGGCGAGGTCTCCTGCAGGTGAGTGCGAGGCCAGACTGATCCTTTTACCCCCTCGGCCGAGAGTTGCGTTTTGGGTGAGGGGAGATCCCAAAAGAAGTAGGTGGCGTGCTGCCTGCCAGATGGTTTGGGCTACCTAATCCAGGAGCATCGGCTGTGCTGGGGCCGATGAGGCTTGTAGTCCAAATCATCTGGGGGATGATGGTTGCCCACCCCTGCAGTAGAGGGCTTGTGGGGGAGAGAGTGAATAAATGTACGTATGGGTTGCTGCTCTGGTTAATTAATGGATTAAATTTGCGTGGTAGTAAAATTGATTCCTGATCATTATACTTTCCTTGGTTGTTGCATCGTGTTGTGTTGCAGAAGGGATCATCTTTGAAAAGATGCTCTCCTGCACATGAGAGAAAGGGAGATAACCTCTTTTCTAGGCGCTTGCTTTAAGAGGAATATTTGAGCATTAGTTTTGCAATCTAAAACTTATATAATCTAAATTAGATTGAACCCCAAAACTTAGGCAGTACCTGACAAGGATCTGTCTCTCAGGCAGACCCCTTTACTTCCCAGAGGAGCCTTTCCCAGTCCAGCGGTCCTTCAGCTGTGGGACTGCAACTCCCATCATGCCCAGCTAGCATGGATTATTGCTGCTGCTACTGCATTTCTATACTGCCCAACAGTTGAAGCTGTACAGGCAATTGCAACATCGAAAATGGTAACATACAACAACAGGGCAAAAGGAACTACAAAGGTTTAAAACTACACTGGAAATTCAAAGGAAGAACCAACAACAGTTGAAAAACCGGACTGTACAACAGCAGATTTAAATAATGAAACTGAAAGAACGGAAGTGTCTGGGAGAAGTGAAAGGGCTTCTTGTGGCTTGGGAGGCACTGTACTGTAGCACTGGGTGAGCAGGCCACCCCCTCCGTAAACGCCCCCTGCCTGGCTTCATTTGGCAGGGCAGCCCAGAGGGGGCTTCTGAAGAAGATTGGCAGGAGGAACTGACAGGTGTGTCTTGGGGATGCCCTCCTCCAGGAAGCCTGAGCCCACCCAAGCCGCCCGAGCTGTGAAAGTGAACATCAGCACTTGGGATTCCAGCACATCTGGAGAGCTAGGCAAAGCTTGCGGTAGAAGAGGGCGCCGTGGAATTTAGATACATACTGATTCCACCCATCTGTACTCTGTGTCTCCCACGGCAAACCTGGGGGATCACGGCCTGGGGACGGGCAGCAGAGAGAGGAGGCCGAAACAGCACTCAGAGCTTTCTTTATGTGACTTGGGGAATTCGTTGCTTTGCTCAGGGGTGGCACTGAAGCCTATCTGAGCTCCAGACAATAGAAAATAGGGCTGGCCCCCTCCCCTTTGAGCAGCTGCAAAAGGGGCAGAAAACCAGCACCTTCTCTGAGTGTGTGGAGGAAGCCTGTTGGATTTCTGCCTCTGGAAAGCATCCCTGAGACCTAGACGGCAAGCTCACGTAAGATGTTTCTGAATATGTCAAATAAGTGTTGGAAATTGAAACAGAAACCTGGTACCTTTTATCAGGTGTGGTGGATCTGTGATAAAGCAAAAAATACTGGGTTAAAATACATAGATGGCTTGGGGAAATGTTGCAAAGATCCGTAATGTTTAAACCAGAAATATTTTTGTTAGACATTCTCCCCGATGATCTCGATAAACAAACTATATATTTGACTTCGCATGTAATAACAGCGGCAAGGATCGCATATGCGCGATGTTGGAGAAATGAAGAGCTGAAGATTTGATCTTGAATAAGATATTGGACTGTGCAGAAATGGATAGACTGACTTTATCTCTTAAGGAAAAAGAAGATACAGTTTACTAGCAAACATGGGACAAAGCATGGGATAGCAAACATTTTTTTGTCAATGGCTACAGAATCTGAACTCTAATATGGGCTAAAATACATAGCATTTTGTAGAGAGAAATAAGACTTTGTATGCAGTATGTCTGAAGTCTTTAGAATAATTATTTGTTTAGTGAGTAGCAAACAGTAAGACTTTTGAATTCAAAAAAGAAAGAAAGAGCTCACCACCAGACTCTCCACTCAGGCTTGGGGAGAACAACCGCTTCTTCACGGTGAAGAGCGAGGAAAGCCGCAGTGGCAAAGCCACTCCGGAGACGGAGACGTCTGACTACCATTCGGAGTCTCCCTCGGAGTGCTCCTCGGAGGACGAGTGGCTGACCAAACCTCCACCAGAAGCATCAGGGCTGAGCAAAACTCCGCTGGGAAGAAAGAATAAGCAACAGGTGAGCGATGGAAGGGAAGCCGGAAGGAGGGGGCCCAAAAGCTGAAGCCAGTCTGGAGGGGAGGAAAGAGAAAGATTTCCCTTCCACATTTTTCAGAGCTGGGAACATGGGAGCTATTTCTTTTCTTTTAACCACAAATCATACATTTTTTCTCTCTTGCTTTGTTCTCTTCTTTCCTTGCCTTGCATGTCTTTTTCCATAAGGGAAGTACAATTCTTAAAGACACCCTTTAGAACAATTGTGCACAACTCACAGTTCCTGATGACCCACTTGTGGGAATCTGGTGCTTTGAGCAAGTGAGCCACGTTGCGTATTGTGGACAACGCTCCGGGGCATGTGCGCGCCTCCCCCACCAAAAAGGCAGTTCTCCGGCCCATCGGGCAATCTGAGCCGGGCAAAAACGCCCCTTCCCCACTGCACCAGGGAGCGCAAGGCCAGTAGTGCCGAAGGGGGACAGATCCGCAAAAGATGCTGTCTTTGCAGGTGCCCTCCTGGCCCCAGGTGGTCGACAGACCTCCGTGCTCACCTGCAGAGCCCGCATCTCACTGCAGCACCCCATCACCCGCCCCTCTGCCCGGCCTGATCCACCTGCTTCTACCGGCCACGCCCCGAGCACTCCTGTTTGGTGACCGCTTTCTTCTCCTTTCCCCCAGGCTGCCCAGTATTTCTACATGCCGGCTCCTCTCTGGGTCCCGTACCCGCCAAGCATGGTCAGCTACGTCCCGGCCTACCACCCTCTAACACTCTACTATGTTGACATTGCCTCGAAACCGCCGGTGGCCAGGAAGCCCAACCCGAACCTGGTGAAACGCCTGACCAAGCGGGCCTCCAAAGCCTGAGGATGAAGGGGGGGCGGGGGGGCCCTGAGGCTGCCCTGGCCGCTCTTCGCATGGGCTTGGACCTTACCTGAGATGGAGACGGCCACCACCATGCTCCTGGGGGTTCTCCTGCGGTGGGGAACGCCTGTCAGCTTGTCTGGCAGCCTTGCCCTGGCGCATGCGTTGGGATGGGGGGCCACCTTGTTTCTGTGGTGCTAACGACTGTAGCATTCTGATTGTATACTACTGAGCACTTACCTGCACTCAGACCCAGAAGCCTGGCTTTGGATATGGAAGGAAATGGGGGCTAGGACCCTAGGGTATTCTCCTGAGTTCTGGCAGGGAGGTGGTACCTAGTAGTTAGAGCAGGATAAGCTGGGAAATGAATAATAATAATAATAATAAATGGGTTATTTGAGCTCTTACAGAGGAAAGTGATTCAGCGGGGAAGAACCTGTCCTCAGGTTCTCATTCAGTTCCTCGCTCAATTTCTTTTCTCAGACTTGGGTATAGGTGGGATGAGAGAGGCATACCTCATTTGATTGCACTCCGCAGACGCTGCATTTTTGACAAATTGATGTTTGTGGCAACCCCATATCAAGTAAGTTGGTCTCTGCCATTTTCCCAACAGCATTTGCTCACTTTGTGTCTCTGTCAAGTTTTGGCAAATTTTGCAATATTTCAAACTTCTGCCAATCAGTTCATCCTCCATCAACACAAGGGAAAGACCCTCGAGCAGCAAAAAGATTACAACTCATTGAAGGTTCAGGTGGTGGTCAGTGTTTTTTAGCAATAAGATATTATTTAATTAAGCTAGGTACTCATTAGAATGCAGTATGGTATTAACATAATCTTTATTTGCACTGGGGAACCAAAAAATTAGTGACTTTTAATGCAATATTCATTTTATTGCAGCGGTCTGGAACTGAACGTGCAATATATCTGAGGCATGCCTGTACTGGAAATTGTGTTTATGAATTCTGCACTTTAAAGGCAACAACAAGAAAGTTTTGCTGCTTTCAAAGGGGGGAAAAGTGTTGCTGACCCCTGGGTGACTAATTGCACATTTGCATACAACGGCCTGTTTTGCAGAATTGGCTCTGCTATTGCACATCTGTTGGCAAACAAATGGACAATGATAACTGGAGCCTCCCCCCCCCCCCGCCACCTGCATTAATATTGGCCTTTTGGCCGCTCTTGCCTGCCCTGTTCCCAGTTCTAACTTTTGCAGCTTCTCTGGGCATTTCTCCTACATTTCCAGCTCTTCGTTTTTGCAACTGTAAGGGCTAATTTACACAAAAAAGAAAACTGAGATTCTTAGAATGTCAAATGTACATTTTCTATGCTTGGACAGTACAGTCTGGTTATACACACAGCTACAAAATAATACCTACCTACCTCAAGAGATGCTTTTTGTAAAGTGGACTGATTGAGGGGCCGTTTAAACTATTATTTTGAAGGGTTTTGAAAAAGATCTTTTTTTGGACAAAGTATTATTATTATTATTATTATTATTATTATTACTATTACTACTACTATTATTATTACTATTATTATAAACTTAATACTTATGATTATGTCCTGTAAATAACAATCAGGAGCCTTTTAATTTATGGAATGCGCTTAATTGTGTAAATATCTCATCAGCAACTTCTTTTTATGCACCATTGATACAACGTATTTTGCCTTTTTTACAGACTTCTTTTTTCTAAGAAAAGCTTAAAAATTATTAAAAATAATAAATGTTGCAAGTAATTGAATGAGCATTTGTATATTTTCAGGGAAAACATGGAGATGTGAAGGACGGTGGGGTGCCTGTACCTTTAAATTGGCAGGAAGTGTGTCGGTCTTCTCATATTTCTGTCCTACCAGCAATCACTATGTTGATTATGCTGGCTAGGGCTGATGGGAGTTGTAGGCCAAAACCTATTTATTTATTTTATTAAAACATTTTTATGCCGCCCCATTCGCCGAAGCCTCGGGGCGGCTTACAACAATAAATTAAATAATTATAATCATAAATTAAAAATGTAAACATTAGAATAAAATACAAACATACAATATAAAATAAGCCGCCCTGGCCAGATAAAATTCAATAATATTAACATTTAAAATGCCGCTTAAATAAAAAGGTCTTCGCCTGGCGCCGAAAAACAAATAACGACGGCGCCAGGCGGACCTCTCTGGTCTAGACTAAACCTAGACTGCCATCCCTTCTTTGAATGGGTAGTTTTTTGCCCTGAAGGGAACTAATGGATGTATTCTCTGCAGAATGCCACCGGTGTGCCTGACCAACAGCTTTCCACACAGGCATCCTCACATGTTAATGTTGTGCAGTTCATCAGCAACTTTGTAGTCTTGGTTTCAGAAGGGGATGAAGATGGAGGCTACGACCCTATAACTTCTGTGGGAACGCAAAGTGTTCCATACACACACAGGGAGATGCAGACAAGGTCAGACTGTAAAGGTTTCTGCCCAAAGGTTTTATTATGGCAGACGCTCACTTGTGACTAGGCAGGCAGGACCCTGATCCAGACTCCTCCTCACAGGGCTGTTGTGAGAACAAAATGGAGACGAGGAGGTGGCCCGTGCAAGCCATGGGTTTCTGTGCAAGAGGGAAAATAGTGGGGTATAAATAAAATGACGTTTATGAAATCCAGATGCAAAGGGGGCGTCATGTAATTTTGCTGGGTACATACAGTATATCACAGAAGTGAGTACACCCCTCACATTTTGTAAATATTTTATTAAATCTTTTCATGTGACAACACTGAAGAAATGACACTGCTACAATGTAAAGTAGTGAGTATACAGCTTGTATAACAGTGTAAATTTGCTGTCCCCGCAAAATAACACACAGCCATTAATGTCTAATCCTCTGGCAACAAAAGTGAGTACACCCCTAAGTGAAACTGTCCGAATTGGGCATTATTAGCCATTTTCCCTCCCCGGTGTCATGTGACTCGTTAGTGCTACAAGGTCTCAGGTGTGAATGGGGAGCAGGTGTGTTAAATTTGGTATTATTGCTCTCTCTCATACTGGTCACTGGAAGTTCAGCATGGCACCTCATGGCAAAGAACTCTGAGGATCTGAAAAAAAGAATTGTTGCTCTACATAAAGATGGCCTAGGCTAGAAGATTGCCAAGACCCTGAAACTGAGCTGCAGCACGGTGGCCAAGACCATACAGCGGTTTAACAGGACAGGTTCCACTCAGAACAGGCCTCGCCATGGTTGACCAAAGAAGTTGAGTGCACATGCTCAGCGTCATATCCAGAGGTTGACTTTGGGAAATAGATCTATGAGTGCTGCCAGCTTTCCTGCAGAGATTGAAGGGGTGGTGGGTCAGCATGTCAGTGCTCAGACCATACGCCGCACACGGCATCAAATTGGTCTGCAGGGCTGTCATCCCAGAAGGAAGCCTCTTCTAAAGATGATGCACAAGAAAGCCCGCAAACAGTTTGCTGAAGACAGGCAGACTAAGGACATGGATTACTGGAACCATGACCTGTGGTCTGATGAGACCAGGATAAACTTATTTGGTTCAGATGGTATCCAGCATGTGTGGCGACAACCAGGTGAGGAGAACAAAGACAAGTGTGTCTTGCCTACAGTCAAACATGGCAGTGGGAGTGTCATGGTCTGGGGCTGCATGAGTGCTGCCGGCACAGGGGAGCTACAGTTCATTGAGGGAAGCTTGAATGCCAACATGTACTGTGACATACTGAAGCAGAGCATGATCCCCTCCCTTCGCAGACTGGGCCGCAGGGCAGTATTCCAGCATGATAACGACCCCAAACACCTCCCAAGACGACCACTGCCTTGCTAAAGAAGCTGAGGGCAAAGATGATGGACTGGCCAAGCATGTCTCCAGACCTAAACCCTATCGAGCATCTGTGGGGCATCCTGAAATGGAAGGTGGAGGAGTGCAAGGTCTCTAACATCCACCAGCTCTGTGATGTCGTCATGGAGGAGTGGAAGAGGACTCCAGTGGCAACCTGAGAAGCTCTGGGGAACTCCATGCCCAAAAGGGTTAAGGCACTGCTGGAAAATAATGGTGGCCACACAAAATATTGACACTTTGGGCCCAATTTGGACAGTTTCACTTAGGGGTGTATTCACTTTTGTTGCCAGAGGTTTAGACATTAATGGCTGTGTGTTATTTTGAGGGGACAGCAAATTTACACTGTTATACGAGCTGTATACTCACTACTTTACATTGTAGCAGTGTCATTTCGTCAGTGTTGTCACATGAAAAGATATAATAAAATATTTACAAAATGTGAGGGGTGTACTCACTTCTGTGATTTACTGTAGCAGGCAGAATCCCACCATGTGCAAAAGGTGCTCCATGGCCATCCGTGCAGGGTTCGTGCCTTTCAACAGCTGCATGGCAAGTAGAAATCCAATGCATGGATTCCCCACACCTCCATCAGTGCACCCCCAGGCTAGAAGCCTCGCCTGTTGGAATCCTGCCTGGTAGGCAGCTGTTGAGTGTCCAGGAGCCCTGTGAGAACCCGAACTCAACTCATGCATCAGAGCTGTATATTGTCAGGACCACCGCAAAGGATCCTAACGGCATGTTCAAAATAGGAAGGCTGCAACAGGACAAACGTTTTCTGGAGGAAGTTAAAATTCCGCAGCTGTAGGAAAGGAAAATGGACCCAAATAAAATCATGCTGCAGCTGATCGAGCTGCAGTTCTGTCTAAAGCCCAGCAGGGTGAGCTATTGACCAACCTGCTTGAGTTACCTCGGGCTCACTCACTCCCAGCAAACGACGAGACCAAAGAGCACTAGGACTGCACAGCCCCTTGTGCACAACCCCGTGGGCTGATGTGCCTGCCACTGCTTCCCAAGGGTGGACCCGTGCACCTCTGGCTTTTCCTCCAGATCGGTCATGGAACAGCAAATTCTATATCATAGAATTCCATCACCAGTACAGAGCTGCAACCACGAAACAGGCTTCTGAAGGTCCCACAACTGGTGCCTGTTCATTGCTTTTATGCTGGTGGAGGGGCTGAGAACTGGGTCAAAAGGAGGAGGAGGCATTGCACCCTGTTAGGAAATGGAACTGTTCGTGGGGGGACACTTGCTTCGTCCGGGTGGCTGGCTTGAACAGCAAAGGGAGTCGCCAGTGCTGGTTTTGCTATGCCACAGTTTCTTTAGGATGGAATGGGAAATGTTGTGTGTCATCAAGCCATCTTTGATCTATGTGGATCCCATGAGTGAAAGCCTTCCAAACTGTCCTATCCATGGCAGTTCCACTCAGCTCTTCTAAGTTCAAGGCTATGGCTTTCTTAAGAGAGAATCCATCTCATATATATTTGGTCTTCCCTTCATCTCCGGCCTTTGACTTTCCCCGGTGTGACTGTCTTCTCCAGAGTCCTGCCTTCTCATGATGTGTCCAAAATACAACAACCTCAGTTTTTGTCATTTTTGCCTGTAGGGAGAGCTCTGGCTTGATTTGCTCCAGGACCCACTCGTTCCTCTGTCTCTCGGTCCAGGAAATTTGCAAAACTCCTCCAGCACCCTTTTTCGAAAGCATCCATTTTCTTCCTGCCAGCTTTCTTCACTGTCCAGCTTTCCCACCCCTACGTTGTGACTGAGAATACAATAATTTGGACAGACCCTGAGGAAGAGCAAAGCGAAGTGGCTGAGCAAACACGGTCAGGAATCAACTGCTTGCAGGTTTGCTGATGTTTTGACTTGCAACTCTTATCTTATCCCTTAGCGCAGCTACGGGAGGACTGATGAGCCTGGAAGGCCAGGAGCTGCCGCCACCTGCGCAAAGTCATGGCTTCGAGCGGAGCTTCAGCTCCATTGGTGTCATATTAGATGCAGACTTATCTAGAGTGAAACTTGCCCAGGGTGAACCAGATGTCATCCTATCAGAGGAAGGTGAGTGTGCCACTCCTCCTTCAGACAAACTAGTTCAGTGGTGGTGATAACATTTATCTCTTCTTGAGAAGCCAGTGTATCAAGCTGTTGCTGTGTACTGAAACATTAGCAGCCCTATCTCTGGGCTACACCCTTATCTCGCTTGCTTTTCCCCACAATGATGATTCAGCTTGTTTGGCCCTGCCAGGACTGACTTAAGAGAAGGGCCTAGCAATTGCCAGCATTTGAAACTACAAATATTAAGGGCTCGCAGAGCCAAAACAACTGGGAAGAAACTGCTGGGGGACTGAGTTGGGAGTTGCCAACATCCCTCATTTCCAGGGGGCTCCAAAACCTGATGGTGCCAAGACAGAATCTAAGGAGTAACAGAAAGAGACAGTAGAGAATACGGTCAGCAAAACCCCACCAGTTTTTAGAAATGGAATTCTGGTTACCTGATAAAACAATGTGACTAGTTAAACCAGCATAATAGCCATTTATTGTCTGCAGCGGTCCATGAGTGTACCTCTCCTTTTCAGCCCTGGTTTTGGTGCCTTTCACAGCAAGCGTTTAGCAAGACGATCTTCCCTTGCTACCAGAGGCAGTGCTAGAAGCCAGCCTTGCAGGGATGGAATTGCAAATTGTTTGGAGCTGAATCTTGAGGGCTTCCAGCCCCACCAAGCTACTGTGCTTGGGCACTTGCCGAAATGACTTTACAGGAGGACCAATAATCCCACTTGTCCCTGAACTTCTGGATTTGCTGGCTTTTTACCTCCTGCTGTCCCTCTCCCTTGTCCAAAAGTTCCTTTTCACAAACAGGGGTGTCCTAGAAGACAGGGTTCCCCCCCACACACACTGAAAGAATATGCGATTGTGTACACTAT